GAAGGTGAGGAGGAGGAGGTAGCGGGAGAAGAAGAGGAGGAAGGTGAGGAGGAAGAGGTAGCGGGGGAAGAAGAGGAGGAAGGTGAGGAGGAGGAGGAGGAGAAGGAAGTAGATAAACAAGAGAAAGGAGGTGAGGAGGTAGCGGAGGAAGAAGAGATGGAAGAAGAAGGTGAAGAGGGGGATGAAGAAGAAGCTGAGCAAGATGAAAAAGACGAGGAAGGGGAAGAAGAGGACGAGGACGCAAACGAGGAAGTAGACGAGGATGAGGACGGCAAAGAGACAGAAAAAGACGAAGTAGAAGAGGAAGGAGATGAAGAAGAAGAAGAAGAGGAGGAGGAGGAAGAAGAAGATGAGGAAGACGAGAAAGGGAAGAAAGGGGCGAAAATAGTGAGAAAAACAAAAGAGGAGGTCGCGGAGAAGCGGCCTCCTAAAGCGGCGGCCTCAGACAGAAAGGACACAGAAGCCCCCAAACCCGCCCCGAGGACCAGGCCCAGGGCCGGACCGCAGGGAGCCCAGCAGTTCTGGGACGACGTGCTGCCCCAGTACCTGGACCTGCAGTGACCGGCCTCTGGACACACGGCACCCAGAGTCCAGATAACCCAGCTGAGCAGAGGGAGCTGCTACGGCTTCGACCAGTAGTTAGTGGACGGTCGTTTTCACCTTTTTTTTGTTTTTCTGTGAGCACAAACGTCCAGACTGCCGTCTTTTGTGACTGTACTGTGTCATTAGAGATGTTTGTTGAAGCAAAGCCCATCTGGACCATCTCTACCACTTGATATATGCACTTAATGCTAAAAATTAGCATATTCCTATAGGTTTTCAAATTGAGTTGTTTTTACCTTTGTGTATTTATGTTAAAAATTATTTATTCTTATTTTCATTATCAGTAGATTGTGAAAAAATGCTGACAACTGTTGATAGTTCTCTTGGAAAGGACATTAAAGGTTTAACAACTAAAAGGGACCAAAAGACAGGAGGATGGAGGTTATTCTTGGAATTGGATTAGATAAAGTTAGACGACTTTAGGGGGTAGCATCTGTTAAATTACAGAATTCCTTTAAAAAACAGGAAAGTCACACTGATCAGACGGAGTGAATTCTAGCTGAGGACACAGAAATGTATAATGAGAAAAACTGGACATAACCTCATTCTGAACTCATTTAGAACCAGCTCCTGGTGGACATGGGTTGCACTTTATGGCTTTGCCTTGATTCTTGATCATTAAAGATCTTTCATCATCAGGCCCCTTTTTTTCAGTCACCAAGAAACATGTATTAAGACGAGTGACTTTGCAAAGCCTTGTTCATTTGATTCGTTTTCTCTTGCAAATTTTCACAGTATATTTAAAAACCAGAGCCTTCAAGCTGAGATGATCCACCTAAATGGACAGCGGCCATATTTATCACCATTGGTCAGACTGAGCAACCAATTGATGCACTTTTATTTATAACTGAGTGGAAAACTGTTGAAACTGTGTGCGTAAAAAAAAATCAATGAATCGTGTTTATGGTGTACATTTCTCTTTGTGAGCAGCCACGAGGCAGGTTCTGTAATGAGAGGCGAACGCAGTCTTTGCTTTTGGCAGCCTGGAAACATCTGCAGGAGGAGGTGATTCCTAGGTGTTTTTTGTAAGGTTTGTTGTCAAAGCAAAAAGGAACGTCGCAAAGACATTTCCTCTAAAAGTGCCAGTGTGATTCAAAGTGTGAACAAGCATTGAAGAATTGAAAGTCTTATCAGTAATTTTTCCTTTAACATTTTTAAGCCCCAGCATGCGTCTTAATTACTCTGTCACTTCTTGTTTCTGTCTCAGTGTGATATAGTCCATAGAGTATGTTGAAAATCCTTGTAGCTTCAAGCTGCTGTCAGGCTGATAAAAAAAAGTTCAGCTGAGAGTAGATGCTTTGTTTAAAGAGCTCGTCTGAACTGAACCTAAATGCCGCTAATGTCAGAGACGCTGCAAATCCAAAATGACTGGCTGCAACCACCACATTAAAGTCACCGGACAGATCCCCGAGAGCCAACGAAGCAAAGACGGAGTCGCCCTCCCGCCCTCTCCTGACTGGATGCAGCCCGTCTGCCAAAGCAGGTGGAGGAGTTGGCTGGGCTAACAACTAATTACAGCCAAGGAGATGTTCTGGCACCCGTTTCACCTCACGCAACGCTTTCCTGCTTCCTGTCAGGACAAGGTGCTCCCAGCCCCTTTGTGGAGCCACGCATCTCATGTGGAGTACACCCCTCACACCCCTCACACACACCCCACACACACCCCAGACGGGCCATAACCAAACCCATCTGTACTTCCACCGGTGAGCGTGTAAGTGCATGCTACAAATTATTATAATGACCATTTATAGACTATTTTAAGCTGTAAAAATTGTTTTTTTAGACTAAAAATTTGAGCTGAACAGATTGTGACACAACATTAAAAAGATAAAGACCAAGACGACAGCACAAACTGCACCTATCCCTGAATAGTTTGTTACATACAAGTCGAATGTGCTCTTTGGGCCGTCCACTGGTATGATTTACTAAAAGATTCAAAAGAAACAATGTGCATTATTAAAAAAAATTATTTGATCTATGTCCAGAAACTGATTGGCTGAGGCTAGATGATGGTTCAGGACGTGAAGCTTTGAGTATTTATCATCAATGGATCTTAAAGTTTTCAGGTATCTGTTGTTGAGTGAGAGGTCATATCTGAAGTGGAGCGACACACTTTCACTGTGTCCAGTGCTTCACAGTTCAGAGTGAACGGACCTGATAACTTTCCTGCACAGTTTATGGAACCCTAACAGCTCCTACGTAACATCTTTTTAAGTAACTTTAAAGCTCTCGTTTCCTTTTTGGCCACTCGCTGATCCCCCCCCACCCTCCTCCCCTTGCTGCCTCAGACCTGTGGACGGGCCAGCCTGCTTTTGGAGAATCCTCCCTTGTTTCTGAAGCAAGAGGCGGGCCTTTGGAAAGCAGGAATGCAGTTTGGAAGTTTTCCTGCGCACTCTTCCCTCGCACGTTTCGCAGCGTCCGTCCCGCTATGGACATGCGGCCCCTGGTGCTCCTGCTGGCCCAGCTCTGCCTCTGCTCCGGATACGAAGGTAAGAGCCCTCTGCAAGAGAGGGAACGGCGATCAGAACTCAGGAGCAGCGGGGCTTCTCTCCCCTACAGTCCGGAGCAGGGGGGGGGGGCATAGAGGTTTTGGGTAGGAGCTGGTCAGGACGCACTGGGCTTTTTGCGGAGCGCTTTTTTCCGGCACTGGGTTGGAGGTTTGTTGCCCTTGCCACTGGTGGTGAGCCGCGGCTGTGATTACGTGGAGGGGGTGGAGTGCGGGGGGAGTGCAGTGTGCATCTGGGGGACGTTTCCCTGCACAATCCTCGGGTCTGTGGCTCTCAGGAGGAATCCGCTGCGCGCTGGAAGAAGTTCCGCTTCTCGGCGCTCTGTGCTGCGCGCAGAGGCAATAAAGGAGCCATTCATCCCGGGCGCGCTCAACGTGCGCGCGTGGCTAATTCTCAGGGGGCTCCTCGTCTTTATGTTATCCTTGCGTGTTTGAGGATGGAGCCATCTATCAGTCCGTGTTGCGCATTTGAGTTGCTGAAAAAGGAAGGCGTTTATGAAAACGACTTCATACGTTTCCAGACCGTTATCCGAAAGTTTGTCACCGGCCTCTTTTAAGTGTCAAACATTAGAAAAATAAACACGCCGTCCAGAGAGACGCGAAACGGAGAAGCCCGCAGTGAGGAGCTGAGCTCACTTCAAAGCCAATGTATAGCCTGTGTGTGTGTGTGTGTGTGTCTGTGTGTGCGTGTGTGTGTGTGCGTGCGTGTGCTTTGTGTCCCCTGATGGCTCACCACTGATGTATGATCATACAGGCTGGAACATGAACTGACAGACTAAAAGCTGCTTGTTGAGCTGACAGGAGTCTGTTTTGTACTTGTGTGTGTGTGCGTGTGTGTGTCTGTGTGCATTTATGAGTTTATTCAAGGGGGGGTTGTTTGCTGTGGTGGTCATTTAGATGAGTGCAGATACCAGAGAACTGAGTCGCTTCATGTGAGGAATGCTTTTGCTCTTTTAGGCCTCTCTTTAAATGTAATTTTATGTTTTAAAATCAGGTTTATATTGCTTCCCAGTTTGGCATCTTTCCTTCTTCCCCACTTACAGTTAAATCCTTTGAAGGCACATATCTGTAAGGGCCTGATGAGATTTTTCCACGATGATTCTTGTACTTGTGGGTTTCTGTGAAGGATTTTTCCTCACGCTGAGAGAAACCTGGGCGAAGGCCAGCAGGCGCCTGCCATGAGCAACTGTGCCTCCAGAAAAAGGAAGGAGGAACTTTACGTCAGGTGAATCCCGGGCGATACAAGGCACAGCCTGAGGAGAGGATCAGGAGCAAACTGTTCATTAATGCATAGCTAGTTTTTATTACAGTGCAAAGTGTCAACACAGCTGTTTTCTTCTGCCTCCAGGAAAAGAAAGGAGGCTGAAATTGTGGTTTAGTAATAGAGTCTGAAAATTCTGAGAACTGTTCATGTCATTGATGGATGCCTTTGAAAAAACAGTCTACACAAGGGCAAGTGGAGTTTATACATGTCCGCATACTACCAGATACACACACTAATGCAGCATGGAATATGGATTAGTTCCTCTTTATCAGATTCTGCTGCAAATAAAAAAGAAATGGATGCATGTAGATACGATCAGTTTCTGTGAATCTTCATCCTAAACGCTTTCTAAATGAATTATTTTGAATTCAACTTAGGCCGTTTTCTTCTGTTGTGTCCCACGGGGGAAGGAAGAGCCTCATCATATTCAGCTGAAGAGAGACAGCCACATCCTGGAAGGAATAGTAATAGCCATCTTAAAAACGACTGATCATTTTGTGAAAGCACATCTACAATTAAACACTGACGTTCAGCCACAGAAATGGGCGATTAATATTCCATGAAACTGCTACATAATTAGGAAAACTGCATCTAAAAGACGTTGAGCTTTTAGCTATGATGATATTTGGTTCAGCATACTTGGTCGATATTAAAAAAGTGTTTCTCACATTCAGAAACTACGGATGTCTTTGAATAAGTGGCAGCAGATCGTCACTTTACAGAGTAAATTCATATAAATGCAACCAGGTTGACAAACCGTCAGCATTTCCTGTTTCTCTAAATGAATGATTCTGATATTCCTGAAAATTGCCACTCCAAACCTGTCACATGCCTACACGTTTTCATGAATGTACAGATTTAGAAAAGGCTGCTTTGAAGTTTTTCTAACCTCCACCAAGCAGATTTGTTGCATTGACTAAAAAACATGCTTTATATTATTATTCAATGCTCCCAAATCTCTCAACTACAAAATTCAATAATCTCAAAGCAACAAACCTAGTCAGCATGTCATATCGTCAAAGATAATTCTATAGTGATGAAAGTGAATGATATAATAATGTAACTTTGTTCATTTTCCCTGGGTCATCAGTCATGAGTGACTATATCTCATAAGTGACTACATTTTAAAGAGAGTAGTGCTAAATTGAAAATAAAATCAGCGAGCAGGGATGTTCCAATGTCTCCCCTTAGGCTTTATTAGCGGGGCACTGAAGAGAGAGATGGTCATTCTGGTTTGATCAACTAAACGACTAATTTCTGAGTTCTTTTTTTGGCCTGTCATAAACAAGACTTACCAGAACTATAGGTATTCTTATTGCACTTTGAATTGTTTTGTACATGAAATGTGCCATACAAATAAAATTGCCTTGCCTTGCCTTAAAAGCAGGATTTCTTAAAAAGATTCTGCTAATATCAGGGCATTTTGCTGTGCTTACACATGGTAGCACATGCTGATGATTTGTTTTACTGGCCCATGGAGAGCAGTTGATTGCAATATCAGGCTCAGTAATTTGTAACATATTCACTCCAGGAGGCTTGTCATGAAGGCGGACCCCTGCTGTTCCTGCACTCTCGATGCTCTGACAGACCTCTCTCTCTGACTCTTTTGATGTTAGAGAGATGGTTAGGAAGATGGTACCAAACCCCTCCTGATATTTCTTTTGACAGATTCATAAGATATGAATGAAGAGGAGTTTCAGATGTACTTGTTTTGAATTCAATGAATATGCAATTCTTTCATCAAAAAGTACGAACTACACCATCACTTTTGAATCCAACTGTGGTGCTTTGCCAACAGTTACATATCCAGTCAGACATCTTATCAGGAAGAGCACTAATCGTGGATGTTCAGAGCCTCAGAAGGAGTCATCATGGCTGTAATAACAAAACTTCGGGGGAGGCCACACTCTGGTTAGGGTGTCTATGTTGATCCTCTTTTTTTAGGAGCTGTATACCGAAATCAGTCAAAAGGTTTTATTTGCCCTTCAGTCTTCACTGTTGTACAGCTAATATTCAGATATTTGAAAGATGCTTTCAAATATCTTTCAGCCAGGTGGATAAACGCCCTACTGTTTTATTACTCCTGGAACATTTTGACTTTGCATTTCTTTCATTGCAATAACCATGAAGGATAATATGTCAACATAATCACAATCGTGACTAAGATGTTTTAAAAAATGGGCAATCATGCCATTTTATCAGATCACATTCATAAATATTTACATCCAGACATCCTGCTACTGCCTGCCGTACAGTTGAGATCATCTTGACTAAGATGTTTTAAAAAATGGGCGATCATACCATTTTATCATATCATATTCATAAATATTTACATCCAGACATCCTGCTACTGCCTGCCGTACAGTTGAGACGGCTGCATATTCTTACAGAGTTGCTAATATTTCTGACGCCTCTGGGCTCTAACGACTGTCCCCTTAAAGTATGTGCATACACACATACACACGCGCACACACCTTTAATTAGATTTCCATACCCTCTTCCCTCGCACCATTAAGATCCAGACTAAAGTTTTCCCATTAGACAGCTAAATCTGACTCAGTCTGTATGTGGGTTTGGTCCATGCTCTCCATGATGTGTAACCTCAAAGCTTATATTGTGTGTGTGTGTGTGTGTGTGTGTGTGTGTGTGTGTGTGTGTGTGTGTGTGTGTGTGTGGTGACTTAAAGCATGTTGGTCCCAAAGTGGTTTCATAAAACTGGCAGAAAAAGCTGGTGATAAGGAATGGGGGGCAGGGCGGGAAATTTGCTCGCAGTATCAGGCTCATAGACCGGAACATGAGGATTATATGTTTTACTAGTTGGAGGGTTAAACACTCTTCCTTTGAGAATCCTGAACAGAGGATACATTCACACAGAGGTTAATAACAACCCAGGGCCAAAGTTGGATAAGCTTCTCCTTCCAACTGAACTCCTTCCTTGCCCATTTTATGTATGTGACTGCGAATTTGGATTCCTTTTATACGATACCCCCCAAAATATAATCCTCAGTGCTCAGTCACTATCAGTTCAGTTATTCACCGCTGCTACTCAGCCATGTCCTCCAGCAGCCCCACAGCCACCAGAACATTCAGCTCCCTTATCATTTGCCCAGCTTGAATAATTGGGTTCACAGTTAATTCGGACTAAAAAAGGATCTCAGGTAGGTACGACAGTGGGAGGTTTTTGGAGGGAATAAGTTTGAAAATGAATGCGCACTTTCCATTTGTATCGGACACAGCAGGGGGCTGCAGAATGAATATCTGTGATAGAAATATTCATTTTTTCCCCAACCAGTAGGGAAAAAAAGGGTCTTTTGAGATTTGTTTTCCGTGCATGTCTTTTGTCCAGAAGATTCAGCTCAGCCCCCTCCCCACCTCCTGGAATCTGATTAAAATGGAAAGTTAAGCAATATTTTCAAGCTTACTCATGGTGCTGTTTCACAGCAACAAAAGCCCCACAGGTCGGATTGGGCCAATGGCTTTCATACGTTGCCCAACATCTTGGTCTCGGATCGTTCTTTTCTTTGTACTACTTCTTTTTTCTTGTTTTGTTTCATCCTCAGGGTCAGGACATTACATCTATGGAGACGATGAAGACGGGTATTCTCGTAGATATAAAGGTGACTACATGGTCTGCCACAAAAAAACAAGACAAGAAAAGCACCACAACAGTAAAGTAACCATACTGGAAGATTTTTTCCGACCTAATCAAGTCGTTTTATTGCCCAAATTACACAAAAAATTAATTGTGTAGCTTCAACTTAACCAAACTAAGGGGAAAGCAATGGTGTAAAAAGTCCTAAAAATGAAGAAAAAAGTAAAAAATGCTCTGATTGAAAGCTTGTATGTAGACATCACATCAACATTTAGATTTTATTTGATCAGGCAAAGTGATTTTACTGCACAATCTAGTAGAGGGCATACATTTTCATTTATTTGTTGGACTTACAAGGATAACAGATAAATCTGAGCATTAAATGCAAGTTTTTGTCAGCTGACGCTCAAACACAAATTTCTTTATTGTTTTGATCACACTAAGAAGAGTGCCTGATGTTTCATGTCACTGGACTAATTCAAATGGAAAAAAAAACATTAATGAAAATTGTATTGTTTTACATGAGAAAATTATGCATTTAAATATAATTTCTGTCCCCCAAATTGTATTTAACATCTGTAATTCCACTGATAAATTCACATTAACTGTAGGCTGACTGTCTTATATTACAGTGAAAAAGATTAATTTATTTTTCACAAGAAACAGTTTGTACAGAAAATGCAAAATAGTGACTTCTAATTGATTCAGCACGTTTCAAACAGTTATAGCTCTTGTTGAATAAGTATGGACCTCACTGTCTCAGATTATTTAGATAAACAATTCACATAAATATTTAGCAGTGAACCATGACCAGAGTCAATAAGAATAGGATTTCCAAGGTGTAACTCATCTTAGCTCAGCCAACATTGAAGACTGACACAGATGTGTCAAAAGAACTTCCAACTTTGGATTTAGGGTCAGTAAGACATAGAACACCATCATCCAGGCCAAACCAAACTTTTGTCTCATGTAAAACTTTAAATATATATATTTTTCTTTCACTCAGTGGCTGTGGAAACTGCCAGCACACACATATGCACGGCCAGAGTGCGCTTGGGAGGTTGGTTGTGTAATGAATACTCATCTTTATTCCAAATGGACAGTTGCCTAAGCTGGTGTGTATTATCTTTTCCAAGTGTGTGGATATGTGTGTGCTGGGCCACAGTACATTGTATTTGTCCTGAGCCAGCAGGAAATAAACTGCAGATTTTGATTTCCCTGCACTGAATAAGAACCTCGCAGCCCCACATACTTGGCTTCAGTCATGGAGTTTTTACACAAATTGTAGCGATAGACAAACATCTTTCAAGTTTGGAGGACATGTTGAAAGAAGATTCATTCTCGTAGGATTTCAAAGAATCACTCGAAATTTGCAGATTTCTGGATATTTTCTTGCTGAGAGTTAGATGAGAGGATTGTTCAGTTTCATGTCTATGAAAATTATGAAGCTGAATTATAAGCAAATGCTTTAAACTGACATCTGACTCAAGCCTGCAGAAATACTCTAACAACAGCCTATCTATATGTTTTTATTGTTTTCATACTACACTGATGAAAGCATCAAAGCTAAACTTATAGGATCGGGTTTCTCTTCTAACTGTCAACAAGGATGTGAAGAAGACCCTTTTTTCAAAATCTATTCCCTCTATAGTCGTTATTTGGGACAAAGAACTCCTTTTTTTGGTCAGCCTTAATATTACAGCATTTTCTCTGAATAAATCTTCAGATGGAAATGGATCCAGGGGGACAACAGGCAGAGGTGTGACATAAATCAGCAGTGTAATAAACAGAGACAAACCTAACTTGTTGCTGTTTGGAAGTGAAGTGGTCACACAGATATACTCATCTTTTCCATGAAGCCATCTTCTTTTCCTCTTAAGACATCTATGGATTATGCAATGTCACAGAGAAGGTAATGAGAAACCCACTGTATCTGCCTGTGCTCAGGCTGATGGGTGGGTTTTACATTTTCATTTTCAAAGCGAGTCCTCCAAAGCTTTTATATCGCTCAGGTAAGTGCTTCTTATTGAGTCTCTCCCTCTCCAAAGCCAAGACATGTAACTGAAGCGATGCTGTTAATAAAAGCTCAGTGCCACTTCCATTTTCTACCCTCTGCGTTTAGGAACCCCATGGTGTGCACCTATTAAGGTGAAACATGGTGATGTGAGCTGTCGCACGCCCAGAGGGGAGACCTACAGGAACGTTATGGGGACACGCTGTAAAATCCGCTGCAAGCAGGGTTACGAGGTCCAAAGCACAGAGGTGGTGTGTATGGCGAGCAAACATTGGTCTTCCAACTATGCCTGCAGAGGTGAGACCTGCTGTCCATCTGAAGAAATGCTTGAGCATGTTGACTGTAATTAAAATGGCTGATTGTTCTCTAAACTCTTAAACTGATTTTTGCATCTGGAAATCACCATCTAGCTGAATGATGAACAGACTAAATGAATTATTTGTGAGAGTTAGTGTCAATTAAGAATTGAAATTATTATCACAGAGTCTAGCAGCACACTGATAACAAAGTAAATCCAGCTTTTGATATCTTACGGACTCATGGCAAAGTTTCTTTGGATGAGTAAGTCATGAAAATAAGGGATTTGGAATGGGACACATCTGCATCAGTTTCATATTGTGTCACAGATGACTATGTAAACTCTAAAATCCAGGCTATGCATAGACAAACTATGGCTAGAAAAGGATTTCAGGTGGATTTGGTGTGGATTTTCCCTCTATTTGGCTGAACTCAAGGAAATTTTCTCCACTACACCAAAAAAATTCACTTGTGGCAGGACAAATGATTTTTTTTGGTGGAGCGGAGCATTTCTGCAGCAAGGCTACAGAAGACTGACAGGCATACCCGTCCACAGCAGGTAGCAGCTGCTCGCACTACGTTTGACAGTCTCTGTGTCACGGTCATGTGTTTTATTAGTCTTTGAATGAAGGTAAAGTAGGTTCAGAATGTCAGCTTTCAACGTTATGACATGTGAATTCCCACGCAGCATTACAACTATGCCTAATAGAGGTGCTATTTGGTGCAGCTATGAACTGTGGATACTTAGTATATACACATACATACGATATTCGAGTTAAGAGTCAAGTGTAAGCCCATGTTGACTACTTAGATTAATGGTATTTTGTGGTGTTTTGCTGAGAATAGCATGATAATCACATCCCACATTGTTTAAAAAGGTACAAGAATAAAAAAAATATAAGAAATGGTTAAAATGATAAATTATTGCAATTTAACAATTTATTTTCTTCTTACTAATTGTAGCCTCTTAACCTTTAATAATTTTTTGCATCATATGACCCAGGCTTCATTTTGATTCTTTGTTAATTTCTCCAGACCATTTGTTGTCAGATACCTTTACAACAAAAAACCTAATGTTTTAGAGATCATAAAAAGCTCTACCTGCAGTATATTTAGAAGACAATGGATCTGCATTAGAGGAAGACTTTAATTAACTTCAGTTAGGGGTCGCAGCACTAGACAAAACTCATATGTGACATTTAGTTAGAGGCTCCTCACAGCAGAGATAGATTAAATTATATCAGCCATTTGGATTTACAGGGTAAGCCATTGTTCTACTTTCTCATCACTTCACCTATTTTTAGCATCTTTTGAATCATATCACATTATAAGTGAAAATGTATAGAAAATACATGGTATAGTGTTATTTGCTAAGGCCTAACTTAATGTTTTACGTCTCTCCAAGGAAATCTGGAGAGTTGCCAGTAAGACGTTCTGATTTCCTGTTTTTACTGTATTAATGTATAACTGCCTTTTCTAAATATCCTACGAGCTTGATAAGGGCAACCGTTTCACCTTTCACCCAAAAGGCTTCTTCAGTTCAGTTCTTTCCAACGAAATGGAGGTGAAAGATCTTCTCCATCCAAGAAAAAAAAATCTGGCTTCCATTGTTCATTTATGACTGAAAATCTATAGCAAAAAATTGTTAATGTGGACCAGAGATGACAGTATGGCTCTCCACCTACTTATTACTGGTGCTGCAGTCTCCACCTACATGCTTGTCGCCCCTGGTAACCGCCTCAGAGTTGTGTCCGTTTCATTTCACAGAGAACAAATTTACAATTGTAATGTAGTCACATCCTAAAGAATACCTTACTTTTTTGTGTATTTCACTCATATTGTGAGGCACATTGATTACTTAAATAATTACGCAATTATTTTCCCATCAACCTCTAGATTACCTGGCTTCTTTTTTATACTTGCTGGGTCACTTTCTTCTTTTTTGTCGCTCTAATTTTTTCAGAACTCAGTTTCTTATATACAGCCATTAGTGTCAGTCTGTTCGTTTGCACAAAAAGTAATGGAATAGTAGTTTGAGAAGAGCTCAAATGTTTCTTTCTTGCTCACCATCACACCCATGTCCTGGCAACTGGTAAAAGTGTACAGAAGTCAGAAGAGGGATTCCTTATTATATCTGAGGTTACAGAAAGTGCTGAAAAGGGATTTAATATGGCCCAGGATGCTGATTAACTATGAGACCAGCGTAGAGATATGTTTCCTGTTTCTTACTCAAAAGAACTAAAGAACCTGAATCTATGGTATAGATCAAAACTGTTGAAGCTGACAGATAGAGACAAAAATGTGCTGACTCTGAGCTCTCTCTGCTGACAGAGATCCGCTGTCCAAAGCTAGACATGCCCATTAACGGAGGACACAAATGCTCAGATGGATCCTACTTCAACTCTCGGTGTGAGTTCTTCTGCTCCCCTGGATTCTCTCTGAAAGGGCAAAAGACAGCGACCTGCCAGCACAGCAAGGTTTGGAGTGCCGCAGTGCCCACGTGTGTTGGTAAGACTGTATGTGCCGTTAATGTCTACCTGAACAGGAAACAGACCTCTGCACTCACATTTTATTACTGCTCGCTCAAGCCACAATGATGGCTCCAATGAATGAATGAACAAATGCTTTATTTTGGTTACATTCTATAGAAGAAAACTGTCACCTGACAAAAATGATTATACATGCTTGCAAAAAACATTTGTTTTATGCAAGTACTAAACAGCCGTAGCTGCAATGGATGTAGACAATTCTGTCCTTTTTCAATAGTTCACATAAACTCATCTAAAGGAATATAGAGGCTTTGCAACTTGTACTGTAGGGGAAATAATCCCGGACAAAGCCACTGTTTTATGTCTGTGCACAGGCTGTACCAAACCTGCGCGGCCTTAGAAGGGCTGATTTTGGAATGGCATTGAGTGCGCAACATCGCTCTTTACTCAAGACACTGATGACCATGGATGACTCATTCTTATTTCCTCTGAGTATTGATTCATCCTAACTTTTTTGCCTCCTCAAAAGCTTGTTTTGACTCATATGTCGTGCTTTCAGCACGTCCAGATGTCAGTGTTGCTTTTTTGGACAGTTTTCCTCAAATTTTCATTTTGCTTTGGTGTTGTACAGCCGTCAAACGGAAATTTTGTGAAGGTCTTTTCACAAGATTATTGTTTTAAAGACTCCCTTAAATTGTACATATATATCATATATATTTACATACCCTTTTTGATAATCTAGTTTCCATATGTAATATTCTTCAGTATTGGTCAACCAACCAGCAAGCTGCCACTAATATCATGAACAAATACATAGCAGAAAGCCCTTTTTTCATCTAACAAGTATTCTGTTTTCTCTCTGCAGATATTGATCTACCGAAAATCAAGTGTCCCAATGTGAAGGATAAGTGGGCTGAACCGGGAAAGCTGACAGCGAGGGTGACGTGGGACACACCAGAGGGTGTCGACACTGCTGACGGCATCCTCACAGAGTGAGTCTCAGCGTACTAAGATTTTATCAGCCTTTGCTTCAGTGCTCTCACAGTTTAAGTCCTCTACCAAATGCAGGAGATTGCAAGAGAAAAGAATAATTTTAAACATGTGCTTGCAGTGTTATCCTGAAAGGAAAGCCGTCCAAATCCGACTTCCCAGAGGGGCTCCATAAGATGTCGTACACTGTGTTTGACCGGGCCGGGAACAAAGGGTCTTGCCGCTTTACTGTCAGAGTGCGAGGTGAGACTTTCAAAGAAGATTAAGAGATTTACATCTTCTGTGCAGAGCGGGTTTTTTTTTTTTTCTTTGGTAACTTTTTGTCACAGTCTGTGCTCAGCACATCAGCTGTATGACATATGGCATCACCACACCATAACCCGGATGACTGTAGTGACTATCAGTGCTCCCACATCTTAGCACCAATGGTCAGAGCTGACTGAAGTGATCAGCACATTATCAGAAGTGGACTTTCCCTTCTCCATGAATGAATCTGTGCTACGATACATGAAGTCAGCGCTATTTTTTGTTTGGCTTTTGTCAATGTGTTGAATCAGAAATGTTCACACAACAATAAGACTGTTCCTTTAGTCATTACTCTGAAATGCATTTAATTTATTCTGCTACAGTCATCACCAGTTCGTCATGCGTTTAGCCAAATACCAGCAGAAAAACTTCCTAAACCCATGTTAAAGCACCTAATGGTGCAAATCATACTGGTTGCATTTGTAATCTTTAAGATGTGGAAACTCTTGACTTGGCAACTTGAACTGTGGCAATTTAGGTGTGAATAAGGTCATTTTTAATTCCATTAGAATGTTTAGCTTAATGGTAAAGGCAAACACAAGTGACAATTTTTAGAAAATTTAAAACGGTGATGAAAGAGCAGTTCATTTGTGTTTTGTGTGGAGGTTCTTAGAGGTTCTCCTCACGTTGTGTGATGTCTGACCTCTTTTGTGTGCAGTGCGCCGCTGCAGCCCGCTGTTCCCCCCGGACAACGGGTACATGACGTGCGACGGGGATGCCGACAACTACGGTGCCACTTGCCAGTTCTCCTGTCAGGGCGGTTTCGAGCTGCAGGGCAGCGCTGCCAGAGTTTGTCAGTACGGACTCACCTGGTCTGGTTCAGACACAACCTGTGCACGTACGTACTGCACATTGATTGTTCACATTTACCTTTTTAAAATTTTTTTTAACATAAACTCTTGAAGTCAAACTTATTGAAGTTACTGATGCGTTTATGACTGAGTGTCGATAACGTGTGGAGGATTTTATAAAAGTGATTTTGATGATATTTTGAATGACATTCCAGTTTCTGACATGGTGACACTTACCTACAGCAGCAATCACATTAAAAAGTGCATTGAAAAATGTTTTTGTGGCTTCAGTGTCATCAGCCTGAGAAGAAAAACAATACCCTCCAGCAATTTTGTGAATCAGAACATGTTGGAAGGGTTTTTTTCACAGCCTGTACAGCAAGCGCAGCCCCTTTTATCCCTGAACCCTCATCTTCTAAATGAAAACTTTGCAGCTGCAAGTGTGTCAGTCAATTCTGGCAACATGGGTCCTGGTTTTATTCGAGAAGCTCAGTGGAGGAGAAAATGGCAGCCTTTGCCATTCATCGATTAGGAAAAAAAATCGATACTAGGCTCCTGCTGTTTTATGTCTGTCTCTGTGAGACAATACGAAACAAGAGGCGGCTTCTGGCCATCGGCAGTTAGTGTTGAGTTCATCTACTGAGCAGTCAAGTTATGCAGCGTCTCCCAGTGACAATGGGATGTAATAAATCCTCCCCCCTCTGAGTGTCTTTCATATTTTGATCCCATCGCAGCCATGAACATCAACGTGGGAGTGCGCACGGCAGCTGGGCTGCTGGACCAGTTCTACGAGAAGCGACGGCTCCTCATCATCTCCGCGCCGACGGCTGCCAATCACAATTACCGCTTCCAGATGACTAACCTACAGGTGAGGCACGACTCAGACAGGAAGCGGCGGGACGCGTGTCTGCAGCGCTGTGTGTCTTCCCTGAGAAAAAGGGAGCGCAGTGCGCTGGTGCTCAACCCTGGGTTTGGCTCAGAGGCCTAAAAGGGACAAATATATGAAAGAGAAGGGGGGTTGCAGCAATGATCAGAAGATGTCATGGCAGTGAATGAATTATTCTGACAACGGCTCTGATGAGGCTATTCTCGGGTGGATGTTTTCCCCAGCTCGTCAGATACCATCAAGTCACAGCTGTCTTCATATGGCTGACCTTTTAGAATCTGTGTGTCATGAGCCGACTAACTGGTGTCATTCCATGAACAAGATGACTGATCACTCCTGTAATCTGCCCAGCAGTTTGGTTTGCACATTTGCTCCACAAATCCACAGTCTAACAGCCCAGCCTGTGATTGAGCCCTACATTAATGATTCACAAGCAAGAATTAGTCAGTAAGTCAAATGATGAAGAAAATTTACAGAAAGTTAGATTAATTTATATCATAGATCTAGAAAATCACCACAAAGTTAAATTAATTTACACCATAGATATTTTATTAACAACAAGCTGATTAGAGATATCTGTGGGAATTAGCAAGAAGACCTTAAAACCCGTTTACACAGATACTGATGGGATGCGTGTGTTGAATGACCCCTTTTGTCTCTACATATTGCTTCAAAGGAGCCAGCATGTGTTGTAGTATTTTTAGATTGTCTTCAGTTATAGTTCACGTGACCTTTTCTAAATGTTTTCTTCTAGCTTCCTTTTTTCTTTTTTTTTTCTTTTTTTTTTTTTTTTACAATGGCTGCTTCTTCACTTATTCTTTATAAAACTTGCTTCTGATCCAGAGCAACATGTGGTTTATTTGTTAAGCCACCCAACACTAGTCTGTAAATCAGCAAACAGGGTAGTGGGTAGTATATCCCACAAGGCATTTTGTTACCAGACACATATTTTTTTCCCATTTCAGAATAGTTGTATTTGCACAAAGAATATGCCAAGATAGGACATTCTAAACAGACACAAAACAGTATTTTTGCCACAACAGAGTAATATCTGAGCTGAGGACTTGGCATGTGCCATCAGAGTGTGCAGTTTGTACTAAAGACATTTAAGGACACCTGATGTATGAAGGTAAAAAGAATAAGACCAGTATCAGACATAACAAAACCAGTACATTGATATTGGATACAGGACCATCTGACTGAAGTCTCATCCAATGTTGGCCATGGGAGGGCAGCTGTCTAAAGAAGCTTTTCCTAAAAAGGGGAAACTGGGAGAAAATGCTAAGTTATACAAAGTGACACAAAACTGGACTGGTATCAGTAGCAACAGGCCTTATAGAAGAATGAATCTTCCCCTGAGTGGTTTGGAATCATCTCGACAGAGAGCAGAATAAATTGCCGCCAACTTCCATATAAGAGCATTATTGTCCTTCAAGAAGTCTGGAATCTATTCCTGAGGACCACTTAAGAGAGTAATTGCCTAAGTGGTTCAGGCTGTGTTAAAGCCAGAATAAAGGATAAAGGTGCTCATACAGAGTATGGTATTGACTTTAAAGTCTTGCAGAATTTAATACAAAATACATTTGCCTTAAAAGCTGTTTTCAAATGGAAGTTTTAAATGTTCCAAAAAATCTTTGTACTTATTTTCTGTTGGCCTATCAGTGTGGGCTATCTCAAGAGTGCTGCATAACAGAAGCAGTGCGGTGCTGACCACAGGCCAGGAAGTAGTTTAAGTGTCTGCTGCTAGCCTGATGACCCCTGGCACTATCAAAAGTCACCACATCATGCTTCATACTCGTGTGTGTGTGTGTGTGTGTGTGTGTGTGTGTGTGTGTGTGTGTTTGTGTGTTAGAGTGGTGCTGGAAAGCATCACGATTTGTAAAACAGTTGAATTAGAGAAAATAAGAGCCCATTTATGGGTTATGAATTTGAATTGATCACGATTAGAGTATTTCCCTGCAGTCCTGCAGGTTTTATATCCACTGTATTATGAGTTTTGAACCATTTTTCTTCACCTGGTAGAGAATCACTAACAAAGCTGTAATACTGTTTTTGTCCTGTGGGAACAGCATGCTCAGTGTGGACTGGACCTGAGGCATGTGACAGTTATTGAGCTGGTGGGGACTTACCCGGCACAAATCGGTCGAATCAGGCACAGGCCGCTCACCCCGATGCTGGCGCTGCAGCTCAGGTATGAACTCCAGTCTGTGTCACCTCAGCACATGTGGCTCTAGCTTCGCCTCCGCTCACCTCGCCCACGTGTGTTTCTTTAGGCTGCAGCTCCGGATTCCTCAGAGGTCTTTCCAAATGGTTTTGGTAGACAAGCAGGGCGTGGACAAGCAGAGGTACCCTTTCCCCATCACAGCGGCCGAGTTATTCACCACCATCGACACGTTCCCAATCCGTAAGGATGAGATGGTGTTACAGCAGCAGGCGGGCCAGACGTGTCAGTCATAACCAGACCCTCAGCCTCTCGGTGCACCTCCACGGACTGTCAACCATCTTTGATGCTTTTTCTTGCTCACCACGGTAAAAGAAACCAGCTCAGATCGTCTGTTTTCACCTACATGTCACACATTCTACCTGAACTCATTACCTGCATCACGCGTGCGCGTCCTCAGAGGTGTGGATGTCAGTAATGGCGCAGATCAGAGGCTGATCACGCAGTACCATACAGTCACATTGATTCTGTGTCTGTCTGAATGTCTTTTTTTTATATTTTCAAAGCAGAAATATGTTTAACTATTTTGTATAAAAAGTCTGGAAAAGTTTGAGTCTTCCTTTTCTTTTGTATTTATGTCTGTGCTCTGTCTCAATGATGTAGCCAGTGTATTCTGAATTCACAAAAAACACTGATTACATGTGTGTAACGCCGAAGTTGCTTTTCACTGACTATATGTGGGTCTTTTGGTTTGCGTCCTGCTTCATGTTGACTGAATTTGTTTTGATTGTTTCTCATCTTTTTAGAAAGCACTTGGTTTTATTCAGTTTACCTGAAAATACTCCTCCGGCTTCTCTTTCAGTGCAAGCCGATTAGATTTTTGTTTTACATCCTGTGAAAGCTCTTTTTTTCTGCCTTTGTATGATTCATTGTGCTTTCTCTTCAGCTCCTTATGTAAACTTTCAGGATTAGCCAGTCATAAACTATTTCAGAGCATTGAATCACTGGTACTCATTGATGATACTCAACACTAGTTAATGAACAGCAATTCTTCTTTTACTGATCTTGTGTTTTAGGTTCTCCGTCAGTGAAGTGGATCATTTGGAAGATATAAGTTTGTTCTTTTGCTTTTCTTTATTAGCACTAGCTCTCGCTTTTGCTATCAAGTCAAATTCATCTGATTTGCTCATCCCTAAATCATCATAGCAGTGCAACAGCCTGTGCATTTTCTATCCCCTCTGCAGACTGTGAGCCTCTGCTCTTCCGCCTTCTAACCCGATGATAGTCGTTTTTACACTCAAATGGTCAAAGAGCTTGCATGACAGCATTGCATCAGGCAATACACGAAGGCTGAGCAGAAGGCTGACATTCTATCATTCTGCCCAATAAAAACAAAAACACAAAAGTTGACCTTTTAAGAAGGTCCAACTATCTTAGCAAAATAATTGGAAGCATTTTAATCATTGAAGGCGCATTTTAGTTCCTTCAAATATTTGACAAAAAGGACAATCTTACTTGTTTATGTTTGCAAATGCTTTTATCAAAAGCGACTTACAAAGTAGACACAATTTTACAGAGTTGAGTTAATATTTTTGGACAAATCAGCACACACAAGAGCAGCACTTTTTATTTGGAAGTAGTTTAATATTTGAAACCATCTTAATAAACAAACAGGCAAAAAAAGCATATAGTTTATGGAAAGATGTTTATTTCAAAATACTCTCAAGAACACATTGGGGATAAAATAAGCTTGGCAACTGAACACAACAGAAATAGTACATGCTGTACAATAAGACTATCCTCAGTAATTAGGTATTGCATGAGCCTCTCAGTTATGCAGGACATGCATGGATGGATCACTCCAACTGGAGACCAGTTTGCTGAAGACCATCCCCACACGCCAAACAGTTCTTCATGGTTCGACTTCAGAATCCTTTTTGTAAAGTGTGTGATTCATCACAGGATGAAGGATCGCAGAGCCCTGGGCGACAAGGTCACAGACTGACTGTGACTGGCTCATTATTGAACCCTCCCCTCCCAGGACCCGAAATGAAAGCAGCTTCCCTTGGTGCTGACTCACTCTGGAACGCACAGCCCTCATCTCCAGGTGCCTGAGAACAGATCACACTCGCTCCTCAAGGTGTAAAGGGAATGTTAGAATCTGTGCTTTGCGCAGCCTTTTGTTCTCCTACCCCTGTTTTCTCAAATACCATGCAGTTTATATTAACACACTGATACAGTGTTATGTATATTTACATGAAATATAGTCGACGTTTTTCTAAGTTTATTACTTTGTGCTACACATGTATTTATTTAGCTGACTGGGCATGAAAGCAGCTAAACTCCTTGAACTTACTGCACAATGATTTGCTAAAGACAATGATCATTTATGACCACTGATTCAGATGAAGAAAAGAAGAAAAGACTCATTAAAAACAGTGGTATGATTCTTGTGGGAAAGGACTGATGTCAGGGGCAGACTGTACAAAAATACCTGGACGACACACTGGCTTCTGCACCAATCATTTCTACTCATCCACTATTCAGAGTTGACATCACATACATGCTTGGCAATATACTGTATATGTTTCATAACGATAGCGCACCCTCCTATCCTTACCATTACCTAAAAATAATCTACTAATAATTGGCATTTTAAAAACATCTGCTGTTTGTTTTTTTGTGTTTTTTTCTACAGCTTCTTCAATGGCATTTTCTTTTACATGGGTTCATTTAGTGAGCAGAAAGATGTTTGACTGCTGCAGATGTGTGTGGTAAAAGGCCTAGACGGCCGCTTTAAACATTGTTTTAGTCAGCAAACTTTATTGTGCCTCAGGTGTAGTGAGGTGACATATTCACACAACTCTCACACCAATCTGATCCTGGTGTGAGAGGAGCCGAAATTATTATCATTATTTGCAAGCTGCAGGTTAGTCATCAGATAATAATCATCTTCTGTCTTAGAGACGAAAAGATTGCTCAGCGAGGCATAGAAATAAAGATCTGATTCAAGGTGCCAGATCGATTCTTTATGTAACACAGCATTAAACACAGTGTGATTTTTTTCATGAAGAGTTCAAATTACAGTACTTCTTTGAGTTGCACAGTCGTACATGATCTAGTTACTTTCCAGCTATGTAGACTACTGTTAATAAGGAGGTATATTTGGCCAAAAACCCACAATGCTTCAGACCACGATGCTGCTCGGTTGATTATAAAGGGAATGTTTGTGCATTGTTGATCACTGCCTCTTCTAATGCCTTATAAGAGATCTCCATCGGCTGTAACTACATGCAACAGCGGCTCACAGACAAGACGAGGACGGACACATCAGGAGTCAGCGTGTGCTTATTTAGAAGTTACAGTAAGTCACATACAATTATGGTTTGGGCTAAACAGCAGCAGTGGTTGGTTCACGACGAAGTGCTTTGGAGGGCAGAGGGCCACATGTGGATGAGCGGAAGAGCGTCTAAGGCCTGACTGGCTGTTGTGAACAGGAGTAGGACTCTGAAAAAGCAAGATAGTACGGAGGGGTACGGCCTCTAGTCCTTTATGAGTATTTGAGTTGTTTATGTCCATTTCCCTCAAACACACCAGCTCTCCAGCCCTGTCATTACACGTCCGGACCACTTTTTTCTGTTCTTTCTCGCTCTGTTATTCTCTTTTACCCTCTGATGGTCCCTCGGTTGGGTTCACGTGTCGCGCTTGCGCATGCTGGACCGCAACATCAGAGTGCACTCCTGAGGAACTTCTGGGTTTTCAATCATGCGCTGCCAAACCCGCTGTTCCTCCCCATGTGAGTCCATCCAGTCCACCTCGTTCCCATAGCTTGTGCCTTAAAGGGAGAGGAGACAAACCTGGCTTTACATAGTTAAAATCACAAGAGGGCCCGTCGGACAATAACTCTCCCTCATCCCTGTGGAAACAGTGTAAAATTATTTGGCAAATAAATAATGATAATGATCAAACGATTCTAGGATAAAGATAGCAGTTTCCTCACTGTATGAGTTTTTACAAGTCTGTTTTAAATGTGTGTATCACTCTGACTCAAAAAAATGACAAAAACATGTGGGAATGTCTTCTCCCACATACTACCTCCGTCCAACAAGTTCGTTACCCAACAGGATACATTACCTGTGCCAGCTCCCAGCCTGACTCCTCCCAGGAAGACGTTGCTGGCCAGAGCCTCTTTGTCCCACACAGTGAGCTCCAGGCAGATGTTGTTCAGGTCTCCCGGCTGCAGGCCGCAGTAGGTGAAGGTGTGGTTCCACTGAGGGTTCACGGTGCGTCGCTCCACCGCCGTCTTGTGCTTGGTTGACTTGTTAGTGTCAGGCAGGAGGTACCTGAGAGAAAGGATTGAGTTGGGCCTTAGGGTAATGAGCTGGGTTTCTATGGTCTTTTTAAGCAAATGACGATAAAGAAAACTGAATGAGACACGTCACAAAAGGAATGTGTAGTTAGTACCCTTGCCACCAGCAACACGCTGTCGATACAAGACACAAACCTCTTGGACAGAGACAACAAATACTAAAGTGGACAATTACAAGAAGATAATACTACCCGGGCTAAGCTTTTTTTCCTACATTTCATGTTATCTTTTACAGGACATTAGTCAGCCAAGAAAGAGTCAGTAACTCACTCATTTAAATTTGGTCATAAAGCTTGCAAAACTGATTCTTTTACAAGCTAAAGGAAATTTTCCATTCACCTTTTGTAGTTCACATCCGTTAAAGAATAATTAAACACAACTGTAAAAACTCAGCTATGGTCTTATTTATGAAGTTTGAGCACTTTGAATGTGAGTGAAAAGAGGCTCATAACATTTTTTCTTTCAGTGTCAAACAAACAATTACAACTACACTCATAGCAAATGCAAATGAACATCAAATCAAAAAGAGCTTTTAGTTGGCCCTTTATGGACTTGTGTGAAGCGCTTACTGTTGGTGTGTTGCCTGCAGGCATCAGCAGTCAGAACGCTCTCAGTTTGGAGAAGCAGAGCATTTCCTGGCAGCTGAACTGAAGCTTAAAGTGGCCCAAAATGAACCAGCCAAAGTGAAAATAAAAGCATTATCAACTAAAAGTAAAATCTTCGAGAAAAAACATGAAGTGATTAGGCCGTTAGATCTGCTTATAAAAGGCCCATTGTTACTCCATGTTAAAACGTTGGCCGTGTTACGAGGTCACAGTCTGCCTGATGCAGATCTGCATCCAGTGTGAGAATTCAGACAGTTTGGCATTTGTCTGAATCATATTAACATTTTCCAATATTTTACCTTGTAAAAAATGGGCTTTTTTCTTTGCCCCCCCTTGTTCCAGACTCATTCTACAAAATGAGAAAGTGCTGACTGCTGTCTACAAAAGGAAGAAAACTTACAGGCCCTAAGTGCACAACCCCACTTAAGAAAAAAAACTTCTACATGAAGCTGAAAATGGAAACAGAAGCCCTCTCCCCACCTTCAAAAGAAACAAAACAAAGAGACAAAAGAAAAAATTCAACCCAAAAGAAATGGAAAAAGAACAGTAACTATAGAGAACAAAGAACCACAAAAAAGACAATTTTAAAGACACAAAACAATCATGTAGAGGCACATTACAACAAGAAAGGGACACAAAATGACTACCCACACAATAATAGTGCAATGCAAGATTACCAAAAGGTACACAAACAGCAACACTTGCTACAGTTGCTAGTTTAGGAGGTTTTGAAAACTACAGGGAGAAAAGTACTGATAAAATGAATGAAGATGGAAAAAGATGCTAAATGGAGTACTAAAGAGTTGCAGGTGACTATTGAGAGTTGCAAAAATTTCTATGATGAGAAGTTGTGTTGATTTTTGTGTATCTTTCTTCGGAGTTGTTAGGGTTGCAGAGGGGCTTTACCTGCTCACATTTCTCACTGCAGATTATTTTGTGATATGACAAGCTGTTGGCATTCATACAAAACACTGTGACTTTTTATGATCGCTGAGTCCCCATTTATCATAAAATATTCATCCGCACAGGCTCTCGCATTCAAACTCAGGTGCTCCCTACCCTTTCACAAAAGGATCAGAAGTGCCTCCAGACTTGACAGCAGTCAGATTTTTGGCTCCTTTGACCAACAACTCCACCATGCCCCCTTTAGGCGGAGTGAAGCTGCTCGTCTTCTTGCCTTTCAGGAAACTCTTTTTCACTGTAGAGGGGAATATTGGACAGAGATAAAAGGTGAGAACAAACAACCAACAGCGCATCCTCTCAAGGTCTAAGACTTCTGTAGCAGGGCTGGAGTGAAATTCTTTACCCAAGAAAAAACACTTGAACAAAGACACCACCACATAAAACAAAGTGAAAAAAGAAGGTAATAAAATGTATTATAAAGGTTAAATTTCACCTCATAAAAAGGAGAACAAAGTACTTAAAATTACAGACAAGGAACTCACATTTAAAGCCCCCTTGAAATATGATTAAAAATTCAAGCTGTGAAGCTTTATTGTGTCAGAGGAATGATGAAAGGCGTGTGATATCTCTCCCCTGATCTGGTTATTAGTCTGACCTGTGGATACCAAAGAACTCCTTAATAAAAATGAACCTTTCCGGTAGATGCCAGCAATGACCATCCGACCTTTCCGTCATTACTCACAGCAGGGAGTGTGATATCTGTCTGCTTTAAGGAATCAATAGACAATGTAGCAGGCAACTTTCAGGAGTTCAAAGGCCACAGAAGCAGTACGCCGAACATCTCCATTACTGTCCTTGGACGACTATTTCAAACATTATATTTAAGACTGTTTACACCGTGAAAACGTATGTAATCAAGTAATGTAATAATATATTTTTTAAGCCTGGCCTGTAACCACATTATATAACTAAATCACAAAGGTACAGCTTCATTGGGATGTGTTTTCTGTGTTTGTTTTTTTGCCTTTTAGTGCAGGAGTACAATCAGTTTTTTCTCTCAGAATCATCTGCTGATCAGACTTGTTCATGTTGCGTATCTCATTCTTGTTAGAGACCTGGTCCCTTGGCATTTGAAAGAGAGACATCTTCAAACAAGGTCTGTTTTGCTGCTGAAATGATTCATGAATAATTTACGCTCACTTTACATTGTTAAACAATGGCATGAGCTGTACTTGCACTTGGCACAGACCTGGATGTGAGAAGAAGATGGGGGAACTTGAGCAAGTCGCTTACCAGAAAACATTGTATCTGAGTGGTCTGTTCTACGTGATCAGATAAACCTGATAACAGAAGACAGAAGACTATACGATAATACATTTTTTTTCATATTTTGTTAAGGGCCCATAAAGACTTCAAACAAAAAGAAAACAGGCTTTAAAGGGTTAATGTGTGATTTAAATTATTTTAGTTCTTTAGTTTAAGGTTAGTTCTGCTCAGAATGTTTTGGTTCATGGCAATCTGCTGGCTTTCCAGCGAGTGGTTTACTGTAATGGCTTTGACTGCTGCCTGACAGCTGGGAGAAATGGTGGAACATAACTGTCCGCTTAAACTAATAAAGATATATTGCGTGTCTTAGTCTCTTCTTATGCAGCTGAATGCATTCTGAAAAGTGCATTAATTCGTTTTCTGACTTTGATAGACTGAAAGTAATAAAATAATTAGATATCTCTTCATCACCTTTATTCAAATGAAACAGTAAATCCATACACTAAAATAAAAAAAAAGTATTTGTAAGTGGGCATAAGTTCATCTCCATTGCTAATAAAATAAGTTTGTTGTTAATGAAGGTGGCATTAATAGAGAATTTTCAGAACTAAATAATCAGCTTTTAATGTTAACAGCCCACATGTGCATCATCATGTTTATTTCTTGTCTTTCTTGATATCATCTCTGATTTTGACTCTTCACTAACTATGGAGAAATCTGTGCGACAACTTTTTTTGGGGTAGTGATAACGATCTGGAAGCCAGAACATGAAAGGTGTGATCATTAATTAGTATTCAGCACCCTGCACTAATTGGACATAAAATCAGGACAAGCCTAAAGTTGTTTGCATGAAAACAACTTTTCGATGGTGGATAAAATAAACTGAGACATAACTGTGTTGGGAAAAGCTGCATTTATCCTTGCTAAGAAACAGCAACTGACTGTTGGGTCACTCATTATTGCAAACTCCTACTGTTCTGCCAAAGGCTATTCTCACCCTCAGGCAACTGTATTTAAGATTGAAGAACAACAACTAGGAGAAATCTGCAGACAACAACACAGGCAGACCTTTGGGATGACACTTCCTTTACGATTTTTAAGGAACTGATTTGAAAATAAACAGCAGTGCTGGATCAAGTCGTACCTTGAACTTGATCCAGAGGCAACATGAGGTTCTTTTCTGCAGGAATGTACTTTAACACCACGGTCAGTTCTCCTTTATATTGCATTGTTGAGTCCATGCTGTTCTCCACCTAAGAAAACACACAAAAGGTTCCCAAAATATTGTACAATTGTGCATCGATGTCAAGGAAAGGCAGCTTCCAGCTCCTACCTTTGGCTGCAGGCCGAACCACTCTTCTATTTGGGAGTCAAACTGCCAGGAATCAAAGGTCAGATCCACTTCTCCCAGGAAGCTGTTGTACCCAAAGCGGTCGTGGTGCCACACAGACACCTGCAGGGTTCTCGTCTCCAGCTGCGTGTGGCTGATCACGTACTGTGGACACAGCAGTAGAACATCAGCTTAACATTGCTTCATGAGTTCTGAATTCAGACTAGCGCCTTAGATTGTCCGTGCTTTGTGCCACAAACCCTCAAGTTCTCGTTGAAAACGGGGTTTATGGAGTTGGGCTTGATGCTCGTCTTCCTCTTGCTCTGTCGAGATGTGTCTGGGAGGAGGTAAGTCTTCACATACCTGCCACAGAAGATTACGAGGAAAACACACTTAAACACAGTGTTTAAGATTCGTTTGTTATCATTTTTTAAAAATTGAATCAAGTTAACCCTAAAACAATCAGAAAACCCCCGAAACCCTCGTTTGTAAAACTTTAGACAATACAAAATGTCATGTTTTGCTCTTAATATAAATTTGTTTAGGATGTTCTGTTATGTAAAACGTTATGGCAGAAAAAGGTTAAAACTTTCTTTTTCTCATGGCTATCCCAGTGGAGCAAATCTTAGCCGTTCTGGTTGGATGATCTCTAAACAGTCTTACGCGTCCGTGCGCTGCCTCCTCTCATCTCCCGTTGCCAGGTTGTGACACTCCTTCACCAGGACATTGAGGGCACCTGTTTTGTAGCTATAGCTGATGTTCAGGAGGATCTCTCCGCTCACCCTGGCGTTGCCATAGTCACCGGTCTCGCTGTACATGCTCATCATGCTGTTTATGCTGCTCTATGAGGCCAACATGAGAGATAAGGACAAAGATATGAGAGCATCACAAGGTTGGAGCTTTTTATTCCTCAGATTTATGGCAGAGTAACGGAGACATCTGACTAACAGTGGTGGTATTTTACATCACTGCGGCTGGAAATGTATGGAGGTGATGGAGATTCGGGAACAAAAGGACAAAAAAGTGTTACTATGTGATTGTGAGAAGCAAATCATTCAAAAACCTTTCTAAACTGAAAGCTTGTGAATTACTGATTCTGATAAATGCACTGGGAAAATGCTAATCTATTTATAATGGGTGAGTTAATCAAACGTTTTAACAAGATAATGAGCCAACAAAGTAATAATGGAAATCCTTTTTATAATATTTTATGATACATTTTTTGTTATTTATGTTCTTGTTAGGTATGGGTGTTACAATATCTTTTATTCACTTTTGGTTTGATCTAATTAAATAAAAATACCAAATTTACTCGGGCTAAATTGATGATGGTTTTTCTCAAGTTGTTTTAAAATGTTCAGTTTGGCAATGAAAAATATTGGAATAATTATTCTTTTTCATTCAACATCAGCCATATATAAATCTTCGAATAATTAGAGGTAATTTTTTAAGCAGCTGGTTGGAACAGAAAATGGTGAAAATACCAGCTGCAATGTTCCTAATTGCATTAAGACAAACAGACAGCCCACACAGACATATGGGGAGCAAAACCTCATATCCGGGAGTATATGATAGTTAAATATTTGCTCGATCAACTGGCACATTATTTGAAGTAAGATCTGCTTTGTGTGTCACAGCAGTTTTTCTGATGTAGCTGCATTAGCTTTTTGTGGAAAATGGCATATTTGGAACATTCGAGTTTGGTTCCTACAATAGCTTGGGTTTGAAAAGACTCTTTTTTATTATGATTTTCTTTCAATCATAAGTTCAGGAAAGCTCAGCCATGTTTGTGCTTTTAAGTGCTATGAAAGCTTTCATAGCACCTTCTTGTCATGGATCAAACAGTGAGTGGGCATTTAGGTGTTGCTGTACACTGAATAAGGTCTTACCCAACAAAAATGTTGCTGTTGACATAATATTTGTCAGCAGCAGCCCTGTTCTCACATGTTCCTCAAGGAGAAACCATTAGCCCCCCCCGTTCTCACTGCACACATTGCCACTCTGCTTCACCAGTAGAGATACAAGATTAATTTATATCAATAAAATATCATATCCATAGGCTTAAAATGGCATCAAAGCATTGATGAATCTAAGAATGATCCTTAATGACCTTTTCAGTGATAACAGCATTAAGATAACTTGGACAAGAAAACATTTTACATGACTCATCTATTAATCATCTGATTTTTACAGCCCCTTTAAGTTACTTAAACATATCATTTCCGGATTCTAACAGCTTTACTAACAGCTGTTAGTAAGGTGTCTTCCACATTTTTGAAAATTCACCCATGCCATCAATTCCTTTTTGTTGGATTATCACAATTACCTGTATGTGATTCTCACTTTTCCCCCTGAGCTATTTCAAACTAAAGCTGCTTATCTTTTAGCATAAGCAGGTCTGATCATGTAACTCCACTGGTGCTCTGTTCATTTTGGGATTCATTATAAGATTTATACAAATTTATAGATGGTTTCAAGGATCCATTGTCTGGCTCCACCACTCTCCAGACAAACCGTAATTAAATTTGAGCTGGAACACTGTGGTCGACTTATCGCATACCTTTACATGTTCCAGGATCCAATCTCAAAAATGCAGACGACTGTGCCTTTGCTGTGGCTGCTCCTAATCTATCAAACAAAGCCCCAATTCATGTAAGAAACGCTTGAGCCCTGGAAACTCTCAGCACATTGATGGAAACCCACCTCTTCTCTTTAGCATTTCATTTGAATTGGACTTGACACCGATTTCACCCAGTGTGGTTTTTAGTATTCACAAGAGATATATTTGATTGTTTTTACCCCCTATCCTTCATTTGGTTTCAATAAATATCTCCTTGTTTTTTTGTTTATTAAAAGTTCCACTGCAAAGTTGCTTGGCTGAACTTGAACTGTTTTAGGTGTGCTTTATATTTGGATTGGCATTGACAATAATAGATTAAGGTCCAATAAATAAAAGCCACAGCAACTACACACTACTAGAATATTACAAAAAGAAGGAAATAAATAAAGAAGGAAAAATACCAGAAACCCACAAAGGAATCATGTGAAATAAAATAAGTGTGATGGACTTAATTGTATATGAGGTTCAGTTTTACAGGCTGTCAAATTAAAAACAATTTCCACTCCCCCTATCATATACCTGCAAAACCCATTTGACAAAGAAATTACTCCCAACTAGGCGCAGGTAATTATGTCTGGAACACGTCTGGCGGCTGTTACACCGGACAGGATAAAACTGTCATCATCCAGCTAGGAGTGAGCCAGCTTCTTAATTTATTTCCTGGTGGGAGCAAGTCTGATGAATGACTTGTTTAGTAAAGCCTAAGAAAGAAAATAGGCAGGCATTGTGTACTGAATATGCAGATATATTCAGAATATGCTGATGTATTCAGGGTAAATCTTTATTTATTAATGGATGTTGCGTGTAATATTCATCATGCTCCTTTACTGCTGGATCTTAGATAAAGCTGTGAAAATACAGGAAGTGCATGCACAAAAGTCAAAGAGGAGACTTACAGTCTCAGCGTCCGAGTCGGGGACATTAAGGTACCCCCACCTTCTCTCGGAGCCAGGAGTGGAGGACTAGTGTCATGTCAGAGACCAACAGTAGAGAAAAGAAGGAAAAGAAAAAAGAAGGATTTGAGCTTGTTGGTGTGTTAGCGATGGAGGCAGAGCTTACAAACAGACCCCAACCCAAGCCCCAGCAACCCCCATTAGACACGGTTACCATGGTGATTATCAGATGAAACCACAGAGATTACAACTCATTTGGAATCAGTAATGAAATCAGAACATTTGTGCAGGACAAACACACAAACTGAGAATGAAGTGTAGTGAGCTCTTGTCGTATTGACTGTTGTCTGGGAAAATCATAAAACCATCTATCTGATAAAAATAAAATTGATCTGCAATAAAAGTAACATCACCCCAACCCTAGAAAACCTCTGATGGATACGTTTTATACGGTCAGTTCTTCTTCCAGCTTTTTATGCTATCATCTATGAAAAGCCTCCATGCAGTGACTCATTTTATGTATTTTAGGTATGTTATGCATCTGTATGAAGCCCCTCATAACTAGCGTCTATCTCATTCAAGCTGCAAACAGCAGCTCAGAAACTACGTCACAACAGGACGGATGAATAACAGATAAGTGAGACGTCTCTAGACTGTTTACCTTTTCAACTCTGAAAGCACACACTTGCGCACACAGACTGGCAGGCAGAACAACTGAGAGCTGAAATTAGACACCAGTTAAGTTCAATAACTAGGTTTTCTGCCTAACTTCATTATAATATGCGGTGGGGTACTTTACAGAGGAAATTAACATGTGTGACAGAGTCAAGAGGGAACATGGGAAATTAAGACCACAAAAAAAGGGAGCTAATTCAATTGGTGTGATTCTGAAATGATTGAATAAACCTTTGCACGGATTTTACAGTGTTATGAGATAACCAAATAGAGCAGATTTGAGCTGAGTGTGTGATGTCGAAGGCTTCTTCAGATTATTGCAGTCATGTGAAATAGAGAGCACATTCTCCTGTCAGGAAACAACCTAGACAAAGTAAAAATAAAAACAGGACTTCAAATTAGGGCTCAAGACGAAAGGAATGTGGCATAAATCTTCAAAAATCAATTGTTTCTGCTCATCAATCTGGGAAGGGTCAAAAGATTATGTTTAAACTATAAAGAGGGTAATTCATGAAACAAAAACACTATAGACAGGTGATAATCTTCCTTGGAAGAAAGATCGCTCTGAAGTCTAATTGTACAATGGAGCAAACGGTATATGCCCATATGAGCATCAGCATGTTAAATGATCAAGTTCATAGAAGGACAAGTAGAAAAATACCAAATATGTGTGGCTGCTTGGAACTGCCTGTAAAAAAAGGATGGAGAAAACCAGAAGACTTTGGGAATAGTGTCCTAAAATATAGATGTTTGATGCACAATGCACAACAGCTTATTTGGACAGAAATCAAAGGCGGTGTATCAGAACAAACACCTCACATCAGCTGGGAAGCACAGCAGTGACTTGGGCTTACTTTATAGTCACAGCAGCTGAGCAGTCAAAATCTGAAAACATCAAAGTAACACTATTCCATCTCACGGTCTAGTACGGCTTGGCCAACTCTGGGTCATAAAACATAAAAGTTACCCCAAAGCCACCAGCAACAACAACAGTAGCAGCAGACAAAATCAGTCTTGTTCGACCTAGATGATGCAGTAAAAAAAACAGAATATGCATATTTCCTTTCAGACTCTCACAGACCAATATGGAAATTTAATAGCCAAGTAACTTTTGAAAAGTTTGACTCATTACAGTCCAAATTTACCAAGTCACTAGGGAAAAAAACGGACTTTGAACTTTAATTTACATTTGAAACATGCCAATTAGCTCTTTCTATCACACTCTTACTAAACTTTATCCTCCTGAAGGATGCTTGGAATCCTGGAACAAAGCCCAACCATAACTAACATAACCCCAACCAGCCACATTTTGCCCCCAGAGCATGTGAGTACAGGGAGGACGGGTGTGTTTGTGCTGGATGTCAGCATGTCTGCGGGACTTCTCTGTCCGTCCATGTTTGTGTCTGCGCTGGCCTTATAGTGGGAGTTACCGTTGACACTGCGTTGCTGAGGCGACGGCTGGCGCTCACGCTGTGGGCAGACATCAGAGCATCAATGTCTTCCTCTCCGTCTTCATCTGTAAACTCCTGCGGACGACAGCGGTGGGGTTTCTTCAGAGGGGATCGTACATGTGTGGGGCCACACAGCACAGCGAGTGGGTGGAGGCGCCCGGCCTCCGTAAATTCAATCAGACAAGTCCGAAGTGAGCGTGGTAATTTGATTTTCAAGTTCAAAAGCTCTGGTTGTACAGTCTGCATGACTGAACAAGACAGCAAAAGCCGGGAAAAAAAACTAAAACATTTGCGTGTCCGAGGTTATTTCTGTGACCTATTTTAAATGCAAATGAATGCTTAATGAAGACACAAAGCAGCGCTACACCGGCCATTAAATCCTCCACCTTTTTTTTCTGGGCTACGTCTGTTTAGATGCTCGTCATGCTCTTTGATGTGAAATTACCATTCAGGCCCACAGTTGATGAATGGCATTGAAATTCCCCGCTTGATGTTGTTACACACTACAGGTAGGGAGCCAAAAGGGCCGAGAATGTGAAATTCAGCATTGAGAAACTTCTCGATCAGGGCGCTCAGAACTGTGCTGTGATTGTGGCGATGAAGCTGAGAAAATGTGATGGCGTGTGCAGTGGAGACGAGATGGAGGGATTGGTCTTACTGCTTCGTTGAGCCCGGGGACGGAGCGGCTTCTGAGGCTGAGGGCGTCATCGCTGGGTTCAGAGCCCGGAGCTGACAGGTCCATCTCTGAGCGGCTGTGGTCTGGTGCAAGAGAGGAAAATCAAGGGTAAAGAGGAATAATGGACGAGACAGCAGTTGTAACAATGCAGTGTGACAAATTGAAAGAGGCAGCAGGAAAGTGTTGTTGCTGTTCTGACTTTGCAGCAGATTACTTAGATTGGATTGTGAGTGACTGTTGGGTGAGTTTTACATACCATAATTACCTCAAATAATTCTAAAAACTTGATGGTTGGGAAAAATGTGAAGTTTTTGATGCACCAATGATATTCATCTCCAAAATATTTGTGGTTAAATCTTCATCAATTGTCATCACCAATATCAATCATTGGTAATGATAATGATCTCTAAGCCGGTGCCAGAAAAAGAACTTGACGCCAAGAAGACTGCAGCCAAACTCAAAACAGCCCTCCTTTGCTGCTAATAAAATCACCCCACGGTCACACTTTCCAAAACAAAATAAGCTGTGCAGCCAAAAAAGTCCAGAAGACCAAAGGGTTCGATTGAAATCCTTGTCCTGATGAAAGAAGTCAGCCAATTTCTGTCCTGTTGTTGACATTTGCAGTTCTAGCACAACACCAAAAGAGACATTCTTCTCTGCCCCTGATTCCTACAAATTAGTGTAACTGCTGATTTGCGCACTTTGGTGAGCGAGCTGGATGTGAACCTTATTAATCCACAGCATCAGTTTCCAAACAGGTTGTTGTTAATTTAACTGTTGCTTTGGAATGCTTTAGATCCATGAGATGATTACCGTCTGTGGGCTGATTAAATATTCTTATTATTTATCTGAAACCCAGATTTGATCACATATTCTGGACTGTCCTGACTGAAAATGGCAACAGCCCTGCTGTGAAGTGAAACTCGCTCATTTCCACAGCTTGCTAACAGTGGATTGGTTGCTTTGATAAGCAGAGCTTGTGCTTTCATAAATATCAGCACAGGCTACTCATAGGAGCCATTATTGCACAGGGAGAGCAAAACGGAGGATAAGCTAACGGTGTGTGAGTAAACACATCCATTCATCCCTCCTGTCCCCAAAGGATCACCAGGGTACTGCACAGCTCCGCTGCTTTTCTCACTGTCAGAGCCCGGGGTGGCGTTTCTTCTTTTAGCACATCAGCATCGCATCTGAAGACAAACAAGGAGCTCTACGCTGGCCAAATCCAAAGTGACAAACTGGAAGTTTTGGAGAATGCTTTCGCTCCTCGCTCCTAGACTCCACTGACATGGTGCAGTGAGCTCTCTACAGTTCAGTCTGACCTCCTTTTTGTGAAAGTTTTGTTCGGACGGAGACACACTCCTAAAGGAGCCCGTTGTTTGCCGAGGGTGACCACAAGATGAAATCTCAAAATTGAATTATCTGTTGAAGTTCTATATGTCTAAAAAGCCCCAATGAGTCAGTAAAGGTTTAATGAGTTGATGACATTTGCAGTTACACTCTGTAATAACTGATTTATTTGAATCTATTTTTGCAGTTCAGGGAATAAATAGATTTGAGTTTCTGCTGCTTCGCTTTTTCATTCAAATGAATGAGCAGAAACCGAATATTTAAGCCATTGCTTGTTATTTTTGGCTATAAGATCCCTAAGAAAGTCTGCTTGAGTGCGAATTAAACAAGTGGGGTGTTAATTATTAAGCTTTAGGGCCGGAAAGCACAATTTTTTAACTTTGTGGAGTGCTTCAGCTGTTCTCTTGATTCCCCGGTCTTCATGCTAAGTTAATACCCTCCAGGCACCAAATCTCTACTTAAAACACAGACATGGAATTGATTTCCTCTCCAATGATTTCCAACAGAAGAAATTTATCATGCTTTTCTTTCTTGTTCGTTCTTTTCTTCTCCAAAAAATGTCTTTTTCATTTCAGTGTGTAAATGCAAAAAAAGAAAGCAGAAGCAGCTAAATCTGCTCAACTTTGCTCTGGGCTGCTGTAGAGAGCTTCCCTACAAGTATTTTGACTTTCTTCAGTGAGTGAGGATCTGAGCTTACTCCTGATTCCACAGTCCACTATTACAATTGCATGAAAGTCCAAAGATCTATGAAACCAAGTTGTTTATTAAATGCTTTTTTGAACATCTGTAACATCTGACCCTCACACAGCAGCTATTTTTAAAAAAATGAGGAACATAAATGGTCTGACGTTGAAAAAGGAGGAGTTTATGGTTGATAAGAAGAGCAACACAGATATGAAGGCGGCGACATCAATAGTGTGATTCCTGCTGATACGGACTTCTGCTACCGACAAAGGGAGCAATTTCATCCTTTGTGTCGTGCTGAATACACTGAGATTAAGTGTGGATTTGCATCAGGCTGCAGATGTGCAGTCAGACTGTCTGAAGATTGGGGGGCGGGGGGGGGGGTTACCTGATGACACAGAAGCCCGGGACACAGAGATGGTCGGAGTGCCAGAGTTGCTCCGGTGATGGCCAGCTGCCTTCCTCTCAGGGGCGCCGTCCCCCGAGTGGACACTGGCCACGCTTTCTGCCCCATCAGGCTGCGTTTGAACACAAACAGGCACTCAAGTTGTTAAAAAAGAATAGGGAATTTGAATAGCCTTTGTGTCGCCGGCTTGCGTGCGTCATCGCTGACCCTGACCCTCCGGGTGTCGTTGGGAGACGCTGGTTTGTCGGTCCGTTGGTTGTTGAGAACAGCTGGCATCCCAGAGGACTCCACGGCGACAGCGCTGGCCCTGAAACCAAAATGAAACTCCCAGCTAAGCACCGCCATCACCACCATGGTGTGCTCTTGTGTTTCAAGTCTGAAAAATCTAGTTGGAATATTTCTCTGTGTGTTGCTCTAAACCTCTTTTAAAAATTGATAGTAAGTTACAGTGTGGGATAATCTAATGAGACAGAAAGACATTTATATCTATACCATCCTATTTCATGTCTGGTTAACATGGTTTCAGAAAATACAAAAGCGGTGGCAGCTCTGACAAATAATGGTAAATAAAGGTAAATGATAGAGTTCCAATCAGAGTGGAGAAAAATCAAGCAAAGTCATCCTAACTTAGCAGGATATAACACATGTTCAAGTTAAGAAAATGAACAGCCACAAACTGCTTTTTCCCCCACCACATTAAATTGTGTTATTTCCGTTGTTCACTAGTTCACTGGCAGTAGCTAAGTTTATGTTTTACCTATGTTTTAGCTAAGTTTATGATTTTAATAAATCTATGCTGGTTAAAATGCTGATCATGGGATTTCTTCTGACAACATTTTATCTATCATAATAATGGTGATAATAATTGTAATAGATCATGTTATTCCACAGTGGGAGGAATATTTTCAGGTTTATGTTCAGATCAGGAGCAGAGTGATAAGTATAAAGGAGGAAGGACTGCAGTATTCATAATCTGGGAAATGTTGGTTATCGGTGCATGAAAAATGTTTTAATCCTGCCTTTTTCTGTCAAGAGAGTTAAAAACATATGAATTATGTATTTGTTTGTTTGTTCATCTTTCTTAAACCAGCTTAAATCATTGATATTGCAACTTTGCCTTGCACATGGATAAAGACTGTTTTTAAAGGAAATATTCAAACATTGGCTCCATAAGACATTTCAAGAACATTAAATGCTTCTTTCTGTTTCTTTGCTTCATTTCAATGATTGCAAGATCCCTTACTGCTCAGAAAGAAATCATGCTGGTGTTTTCCTGGAAATAACTCTTTGAGTAGGAAGAGATAAACCTTTACTTTGAAATCACAATCCTTGAACTTTGTGTGTATTTAAGAGTGACTGAAACCTGTTTGAACGTGGGCTTGGAGAGGAGCGAACACTTTGAGCTTCTCCGTCAGAGGCAGACTTCACGCTGACGCTATCGACTCCATTCTCTGGTTTCAGGGTGGTCCGATTTCCTTTCTTATCAAACTTCATCCGACTACACAAACAGAGACAGAGAGCTGGTTATCTACTGTAGAACAGAGGAACCAATTCAAGCCCATTATCGAATAGCGTTGCATCAGGTTTCTCTGTTTTTATCAGGCTCATACCCACTTTGCACCCTGCAGAGGAAGCAAAACGTAATCAGGCTTGTGAATGACAAATAAATGATTAGATTGCAGTTATTTTGATTCACTTTCTGACCAAACAGGTACTGTATTTTGCCAAAATTGAATGAAAAGACTTTAATTTGGAAAAAAAGTCTCCGGACTGATCGAGAGTGTCACTAAAGATTTTAGTCACCCATGTTCCAATGAGGTCGTTCATTTTTGGCCTTCACCATCATGATGTTGCTTGAAGTCAATAAAATGTAACCGATTGGATAAACTCAGATGGAAATCAGTGTTGGGGTGTGGATTTTGATCATGCTATAAAAAAAACTGTATTGTTGTAATTACAATTAAAATACTTAATAGTTAAGTAATCATGATTTAAGAAATAACTACCTGGACTTTTAATAAATACTTTCTTTCCCTGTAAAGCATAAATTTGAAATACATCTGCTCATCATAGTTTAAGGCTGGATCTATTTTTTTTTTGTACAAACAGAAAATACAACAACACAAAAGAAATGAATGGTGCACAGCTTCTGTTCCAAAGCCTCTTGTGATTATCACTAAACCATTAAGAACGACTGCAGCCGCCCTTCAAAGTATTTCCTATCTGAGCCATGCTGACATCTGTAGTGGAACAGATCTGCTTTGTGTCTGCAGGGCTTTCCGTGAGCCTTCAGGACCCATTAGCCTGCTGCTGAGATGGTGAATAATGTTAGCCCGCACAATCAAATTACTGCTTTGCTGTTCACAAAATGTATTCTAAAATACATTCCAGGTCTCTTATAAATCAAATAAGCATCCACTTGATCTTTGTGCTGAAATGTGCTCTCCACAAGGATCATTTAGCTTGAAGTGAATGTATCCTGTCTCTGTACAGCCATATTGTTTGATGTTAGTGTCTTGTCATCCATTCAGTGACACTGAATCATTCATGGCTTTGTGCCGGTTCCTCACCCCTTCTTTCTGGCCCCATCCACCATGCTGCGCACTGCACTCCGGTTGGATTTTGGGGTGTTAGGTTTCTCTGGGTCAGATGAGGCCGATGGATTCCCTGCAAGCTTCTTTTCTGTGGCTTTTGATCAGAAACATCAGTAATTGGTTATGAAATCAGCACATTTCCTTTGCAGCCCCTCCGCCCAACGTGCTCTTTGCACAGAAGCCATTACGGTTTCCGTTCCAGCTTTACAGCGCTATTCACTGAACAGTAGCAGTGGAACTCACTTGGCGGGCTGCTCAGGATAGACTGTTTGATCACGTCACAGCTCAGCACCTTCGGCTCAAAGCGCTTGGACCGCTCCTCCAGGAACCACTCGCCCGTCACCACCTTCAGCTCCCTGTTACACAAACACACCTGAACTCACAATGTGTCACATCCCAAACAAACATCTAGGTGTCCTCTCCCTCTGTTTCTATTTCCGTTTATGCATTTCCTTTTTTCCCACAGAACTTTTATCTTAGATTCTGTTAGGTCTGTGAGGCCCAAATGCACATACTTAAATACATACAGTATAGACAAGGTAAGCAAACAAGAATGCTCCTCTGTTTAAGTCAGGTACCTAGACATAGTGTTCTATGGCTTCTTTAGAGAAACAAACGCATACAATTGTATTATTGTATTGTATTGTTGTATTTGTCAGATAAAAGTCTTAAAACATGGTCAATAAATGGTCTCCATATTTTTCTCTAACATGGTTTTTGCCCTTCAGTATGTACTTTATTTGCTCCACTGAGTAACCACTGGTCCAATGGTCTTTTTCCACATTAGCGGAATACATTTTTTGGAACTAAGCAGGCATTTCTTAAAACAATTAAATAGATTTTTTTATGTATACATACATTTTCGCAAAGTCTGGAGGTATTTATGCCTTTCTACTAATTTAGCAATTTCAATTTGTCCTGATAGGGACATCCAAGTGAAGCAAAACATATTAGTCCCCACATCGGTCCTTTCAAACTAATGACATAAAAAAAGACATCTTTTAACTTAAAAGCAAGTTAAAAGATACTACGAACAGTTTATTTAATGCTACGATTACTAAAATAGCTACTCTGATCACAATAAAAGTAAAGATGTAAGTAGGTGTTTTATGTGCAATTTAAAGCAGGAACCCTTTAGAGTGATTACACAGCATTCAGGTCTGTCCCTGACAGCTCATGGTTGGTGTCTGTAAACGATCCCTCTGTCCACAAGTCCGACATTCAGAAAGAGCTGCTGTCAGTTCAGCTACGGGGAGATTGATTGCTATAAACAGAGCTCAGAGAAGATCCAATAAATCGCACTGCCGCTGAGCATGGCCAGAAGAAAAATTAGACCTTAAGGCAAAAACAGCTTTGGCTTTCATATTTTGTTAGACAGGAGAAGTCGGTTGACTCCGACTTTAAGGGAAAAACTGTCAAATGGTGATGTGAGACAGAGATATCAAAGTCTCTCCAAAAATAACAAAACACAAATAAACCATATTAAATTCCCAATAAGGTATTTTGATTAATTTAAGGTTACAATAACATTCAGATTCTACATTCTACAATGATGGAAGGTTGCAGAAATGTTCAAAAGTTACAATCGCCTGCTGAGGAAATCAGCATGTGACGGGAAGCAAGTAATTCATGTTTTCAATATCTTTGAAGTCCCCATTAGCGTGAAAACCAAATTAAAAAGTATTTTAATGTGATCTGTTCAGCAAATGATGACATGAAATGGAGTTAAATGGTTTGACATTTTCTTGAAAATGTTTTTTTTTAAACTAGTGCTTCACAGGGGCGGATACACTAAAGTATCCACTTTGCATCAACCAAAGAGCATGACGGCATCCCACCCACTTGTGGATCTGAACAAATAGCTTTTCAGCCTCTTCGAACTAAAAATATTTCATCATTTAAAAAATGTGATACAGACTCCTTGATGTTCGCTGTATTTTTCAGATTGCCTTATTCAAGAATATCAGCGGTATGGTGATCGAGTTCTTTTCACCACAATCAGCGAGAGACAGTATGTTGTAGGTATTTGACAACCTGCCACACAAAACAGAGATCACAGCAGCAGAAAATGACTTAACAACACATCTAACATAGTTCATGATGGGAAATTAGTACTGTAGATCCTGATATTCTTCACAGTAAAAGTGAGCGAATACATGGATACAGTGTATCATCAACATAAAAATAAAAAAGAGACTGGATCAGAGTGTGAGACACAAAGGGGGTTCTGCAGAAACTCTGGTGCCTTAAAGAGCTGCATTTCCCTTGGGATGATGTAAAACTTTTCTCTATCTGCTCTTCTGGTCGGTCCATGTAAAAATTTTAGTCTCCTCAGCTAATGAGTCTGACATCAAACCGGAACAAACACTTCTTTCTTCCCCCCAGCTCTTCCCCCAGACGCATATCTGTGATGACACTGCACAGAAAGCTGTCTATTTCCAGGCTCCCATAAAATGGATGTGGTGATGTAGGCTAATGATGTTCATGTTGTGCAAATAAGGAACATGCTAGGTCAACACCAGATTCATTAAAAGCTAATGGAATAAAAATTAAGTCCTTTAATCATGGCATGCCTTATATGGCATGCCATGATTAAAGGACTTCATTAAACTACATGTTCATCCTGTTTTTAGGGAGCAAATCATGTTAAACGTTATACTTTTAAAAAACACTCAATTAATTTCCTTTTTAAAAAATGTTTCTCGGATAAAGGCACTTTCAGTTAAATGCATATCCCTAATTTTGACACTTAATTTTATCTATTTGAACTTTTGGTCTTTTACTGTGGTCCATTATGCATTTCTTTTAATGTTTAACATAATTTTAAAGGAAGTTGATGAACAAAACTATTATGACTTACTTTCAAAGAATACAGAGGAAAGGTTTCAGCCTGTGTCCCTTCAGGACCTCTACTGCAGGCAGTAAAAGTATATCTATTCTATTTAGAAACACGTTAGCAGTGCACACAATTTGGCTCCACATGGTCTAAAATGGTAAAAGTGTTATTTTACCTAAAGTTTGGAAAAGGGCCAGTGTGATTGGCTCGGATAAATGGGATCTGTGTGTATTTTTTCTTGAAGCGAACCGTGCACTGGTCCACCAGGAGTCCATCATTCCCTCCATCACTTCTCTGCAGGCCTCGCACTTACGAGATCTTGGCGCAGACGTTGCACCTCCAGCTGCGCGAGCCGGCGGCCGTGACGCGGCATTGGCTGCAGACGCGCAGCTGGCACTCCTCGCACAGGTCTCCGCGGTCAAAGATCAGGCCCAAACTCTTGAGGCAGCGGGCGCACTGGCGCTCCCCGGGCTCCTGGGGCCGACTGGAACCCTTTCGTTTGATGTCCAGCAGCTCGTTCTTCAGCTTCCTGCGGGGAACAACCAGGAGCAGACCAGAGGAGAGGGAGGAGGGTAAACAAAGGGAGGGAGGGGGCCGCGAGTGCAAATGTCGACAGTAGATTTCTCACCTTATTCTTTTCTCCTCTCGTTTCCTCAGTTTCTCATCTTTCTGCAGCACCTTCAGGATCATATCTCTTTCATGCTCCAGCAGAAAGGAGAGGTTGAGATCCTCCCCCTTGTCCATTGGTACCACAGCGCACACTCACCCAGGGAAAAAACTGTCGTTGTAGTTAATAAAAACTACATTATGCTCACGGGCAATGGTACAATCTTCTAATATTCCAGTTCTCTCAGGTCGATCCAGTGTTTCTCCTCCTCCTTGGACACACAACGACCTCTGTCAGAATACCTAGAAAAAATCAAACTCTTTTACTTATTTGAATATCCTTCATGAATATCCTACTATAATATTGAAGTGTAAGAAAAATAATAATGAAATACAAAAATCCAGTAATTAAACCCGTCTTTTTGACAGCTTAAATAGCCTTGATTAAAATAGGGTGCAAAGACGTTTGTCGACTCCACAGCAGCTTAATAGCCCTTAAATTAGGCCCTAACCCCCAAAAAAGCCTAATTTGTCTGCCTCCATTGGCAAAGCTCTACGTTTCCCTGAACGTCACGACAGGGCTCCTGCTCATTATCTGCACACCTGCATACCAGTCCACACGGCTGTGTGCCGCTCGTCTAGCGCTGAAGACCAGCTTCTTTCGCAGCTTTGCAGTCACGGCTGTAGGGAAGGTGATGTGTCCCGATGAGTCAGACTACCACTGTTGTCAGATAAATTGCTGTAAAAATGTGGTGCATGTATCGACGTTGCCCAGCAGATAAATCCCACACACTTTGACCACTTCCGCTTTCATGTCGAGCTACCAGGAGCCTCATATTTCTGTTTATTTGTGAGGTGAAACAATGACTGGCGCCACTGACTCAGTGTTTTTTGCTTTTTTTTTCAAAATCATGTGTTGGGAGGTCTAAAAAGTTCCACTGAAAAGGACAGAGATGGTTTAGTTTTCTGCTTAGCTTCTGATAATAAAAAAAATCTGCACATCATGAGAAGGTTTCCTGAGTGACCCTGAATGGTTCTGATGCATTTTCTTTGAGGAATAATACACATTGAATGATCACATTAAGTATTCTCTATCAATGCTGTAGGAGCTCATAAAATAATCAGCTTCTCCTTCTATCAGTAAAACTAACCATGAAGATCAGAAGCAAATAAATGTGGACATGGTGATATGAGCCATGGAATGAAGGGGGGAAATTCTGCCAGAGCTTGTGTAAATGAAGTTGGGGAACATGAGCTGAAAAGACTGGAGGGATCCTCATAACTCACACCAGCCTCCTTCAGTATTAATTCCTCCTCGTCCTTTCTTCCCTCGTCTCTTCCCTCCACTTTACATGAATTATCACTAATGAACCGGCAGACATCATCACAACGCTGTTTGAAGCCAAAGGCACATCATGAAAGCAGTGATTTGAGTGTTTTAAGCTGAGCTCAGGCTGCTCTGCGGCCAATGAAGACAATCATTTTCCTTCACATTCAAGATGTAAAATGTGGGTACCTTTGCGTTTGAATAATTCATAGCCGTGAACACAGAAAAAGCCTCTCAGCTATAACTTTGGAATGAGACGAACGCAGCGATCAGGCATGTGAGCTAAATACCTAGATCAGAATCAGGGAGTTATATTTCATTCATCATTTCACAAGTATTGTACAAATATTGATTTGAGAGGAAAGTGTAATGGTTGGGGGCATTAAAAGCCACCGCTCAGATACCTTTGAGCAAACTATTACAAATGATTTAGTTAAGCTCATGAATTGTTCATTGCCATCATTTAGAGAGGCTGTGTGATGCGATGATTCAAAGATACATCTGAATTTTTTTAATTTGTTCAACTATTCAGCAGTCGTGAAACTTCACTAAGCTGTTCAGCATCAACTCATCATGCTGATAAGAAAGAACGCTTCGGAGGAGCTCAGCAGGTCAAGCTGAGTTTTTCGAGACAAAGAAACTGAGGAAAAGCAACAGCTTGCAGGATTGCTAGAAATGAAAGTCCAAATCCTTGTTTGAGTACATGACACCCCCACAAAGGATTATCTGTTTTCTTCTCTGCATCCACCAGTGCAAATACTATGTCCATGTCAGGATCATCAAAATAAAGTTTTTGCCCGAGTTGACACCAAAAAATTCAATCAGAAATAAAAAAGCCTGATCATTTCTGATTATGAGTCACGCCGGCCAATCAATTTAAGTGGAACTAATCTAATGATACTCTGTTGGTGATATTCAGTATTAGTTAGGTTAATGCCATTTCATCTAAGCAGCTGTTGGTGCTTATGTAATTGGATACAGTGCAAAGATTTGAAGCAGGAAGCTTTACAGCTGTATTCTGGAGAGAAATTAATTATGAAAAGGTTCTCAACAAAGTATCATCATAGGGTTGAGAATGTGTTTTAATTTCTATTCCCCTCTGGTATGAAGTGTAAATATCCAGCTGATATTTGTTTACATGACTTATATCTTTGATATTCATTGCATAATTATGAAGCTTCACTGCTTACAAGTGATGCACATCGCCCAGAGGCTGCCCATATCTCCTACTGGGGCAGTTGGTGAACAAGAAATAGCACAGAGTCCAGTCTCACTAATGAGATAGAGAAACAGGGCCCATTATTAAGTACTGATGATGCGGGGTGCCAAACCTTTGTTTTAGACTGCTTTCTGTTTTTTGGGTTTTTACTTTCTTGCTGTGTTTCCTGAAATAGCTTTGTGGCTGTTTTGCTGTCTCCAGTGTTGGTCTTTTATCTGGACTAAAGCACCCAATAAGCTTGCTAATTCCAATCTAAAGCAGGAAGCAAATATTCAGATCAGAATGACGCATGAACAGAAGGCCTGTGCCACATGATTCACCTGGCATGCGTGACTAACGCTCGGTCAACAAAGTCAATTAAAGTGAAACTAATATTTATCTGGGCCTCTATCACATTACAGTGGAGCAGTGTGTGTGTGTGTGTGTGTGTGTGTGCGTGTGTGCTGCTGGAGGTGTGGTGTCCTGACGCAGCCCTCCCTGAGTACACACAGCACACATTCCCGGTGATGCTCACTCTACCCTGAGCAAACATGAACGTGGAGGCTGTAAAACTTTGGCCTGTGAACGGAGGATGCACACTGGCCGCTTAGTTCTGCACTAATCACACTGCTCAAAGGAAAGCCCAGTGACTCCTTGTTCCCTTAATCTTTTCCACTGATCACAATTCATGTTGTTTGCGCTTCACCTGGATATTTATTAATGAGCCTGTGCTCTATCGGGGACATCTGGCTACAACGTCACACTGTGGTCTTGCGGGTGTTTTGTAACGCGGTGGCCTTTTACCAGCTGCCAGTGTGCTGTTTTCTGCAGGTGGTCCAGCTCACAGACAGTATCATCAATCTGCCAATTAAAGACCACAGGTAGACCGTGAGCAGCCGGCCTCCACTTGGCAGGGGAGCAAAATAGAGACGGTTGAAAAATGACCATGAAATTGAACACAAAGGATAGTCATTGCTGAACATCCAGCCAATGCAGGGGAGGGTAAACATGGCCTTGAAATGAGAGGAAAGTGGCACAGTGCTGCCAGACGAGCTCCCATCCCACAGTCATTTTCAGGAATGCTATTCTCTCAGAAATGATCCCTTAAGTTGCAAATGGCTTCAAGACAACAATGTTCTGAGGAGATTGATTTAATTATCTGCTAAACAAAGTGGTCCAGGTTTGTACTTCAGACACCAGGAAATGTTTGGCTTTGAGAAAAAGCAGCTTTCTCAGGCTTTGAAGGCTAAGTCTGTTGATTTCATACTTGCCTTGTTGTTGCCAAATCCCCCCCTAAAGACTAAAACTCAGAATGAACTGACATGCGTCTTTTTTGTTGCCAAAGCCGGCATTACTTCGGCTTATTTCTTTGTCACAGATCCACCGCTGCATTGCTGCAGAGTGTAATCTCATTTGATGAAAATGGGCATTGTATTTGAAAAATTGGGCATTGTATTTGAAAAACATCCCTCACAAATTCAAATTCATATGCTATTCAGTGTGAGGAAAGCTGTGTAAAACAGCAGTACGCAGATTTTTTAAAGTTTGCCAGTGACAGTTATAGTGCTCATCTTATTTTCATCATGTTTGTTTTCCCCTCGGGCAACATGGTTTTGCTCATCACTGCCGCTGTAATTAGATCAACAAACATCTGCTCATGATATAGTTCTTTTTTGGAGCTGTAATCTTTTATGAACTGTAAGTCTTTGCTGATTGAGGGATATTATGAATGTAATGTGCTTACTTCAGAATTGAATAGCAAATTAAACAAATATTTCACTCTGTATAAGCCCAAATCGAAAGAACTAAGACATAAATTTATCTGATGCAGAACTAGTTTGTGGGATCATAATCAAATCCTCATTAGTAAAACACAAAAAAGACAAATATAGCTGAAGCCGATGGTGGGAATAATAATTGTTCACTCTACAGGCAATTAAGTTAACTTTTTTTGGTTGCACTGTTTTTGTCTTCACTGTTTCTGAAGGACAAAATCAGTCTCTTGCATAAAGCACCACTGTTAAAAAGCTGCCGCACATTCATTGAATAAGTATTTGAAACAATTAGCTGTCGTCCGTTTTATAAAAATTAAATGAAACAGAATTATTTACATAACCACAAAAGCAAGAAAACAATGCTTTAGCTAAACAGCCGTTGCTGGAGGGAAAAGTTGCCGAAATGACGGCATTAATAACAACATCAATTACATTATCCATTTAAAGCCGTTGAACACTACCACTACTACCAACCACTGCGACTAACTGGTGATTTTTAAAGTGAGCTGAACATTTTTGAGACATCAGTGCATATTTCTTTATGCTGAAATGTGGGTCACCCTGGTCTCTTTAAATTACAGACTGAGCCCTCGCCTCAGCTTTAGCCTTGTTATTGCAATGGGGAGCATGTCAGAGAACTTTTTTTTTTATCAGAGAACTACTTTGCTTCAAAGACAATAGACATAAATTATTTGGCAGCTCCTTTCCCTTACATCAGCAGAATATTTGTCTTCCTGAAGGCTAAAGATTTTTCAAACAACCAAGGTTTTAAGGATGTAAAATAAAAATCTGAGCACATATAAGCCATGGAGAGTCCAAATATTAAATCATATTTCAAAAAGTGTGGGCAGCTGCATTACTTTACCACCTCTGAGTGGATCATTATCATCCAGACTGAGAAATTGTGTTTTGCTGCTTCGTTTTGTTTTCATGCGCAGCCCCTAAATCTCCCGATGGTGATTCACAGGATGCTTAATCGTGAACTGAAAGCAGACATTAGTCAGCACAGTCT